ATCATAATGAGTTTTATTGAAGATATGGATTAAAATATCTCAGAAACTAAAATCTGGGCTTGCATACTGTTAGAAAGGAAAATGTTCAGCATTTTATACTCTTTGAAATGAGCTATTATTCAAAATTTTATCTTAACTCGACGCCGTGTTAGAGAGGCACAAAGGCAAAAAAATTGTGTCGAAATCCAAATTATAACTAGTTTTATTGAAGATGTGGATTAAAATATCTCAGAAACAAAAATTCGGACCTGCATACTGTAAGCGAGGGAAATGTTCAGAATTTTATCATTTTTGTAATGAGCTAGAGTTCAAAATTGTATCTTAACGCGACGCCGTGCTAGAGAGGGGAAAAGGGAAAAAACTGTAATGAAAACCAAATTATAACGAGCTTTATTGAAGATATGGATTAAAATATCTCAGAAACGAAAATTCGATCCTGCAAACTGTAAGCGAGGGAAATGTTTAGAATTTCATCACATTTGTAATCAGCTAGTGTTCACAAGTATATCTTAACGCGACACCCTGTTAGAGAGGGGAAAAGGGAAAAAACTGTAATGAAAACAAAATTATAACGAGCTTTATTGAAGATATGGATTAAAATATCTCAGAAACTAAAATTCCGATCTGGATACTGGAAGTAAAGGGAATGTTCAGCATTTTATTTTCTTTGTAATGAGCTATTACTCAAAATTGTATCTTAACGCGACGCCGTGTTAGAGAAGCAAAAAGGGCAAAATTATGTTGAAAACTAAATTACAACGAATTTTCTTGAAGGCATGGATTAAAATATCTCAGAAACTAAAAAGCGGACAAGCATACTGTAAATAAAGGAAATTTTCAGTATTTTATACTCTTTGTAATGAGCTATTACTGAAAATTATATATTTATGTTAATTCGTATTAGAAAGGCGAAAAGAAAAAAAATATAGTGTCAATCTTCACCATGTTCACCCCACCACAATAGTTTACCCAGAACGCTCATGAGACCCGATTACACGGAATCCTTTGTACAAGAACAAATTGATTAAGCTGAAACAACAAGATTGTTTGAACATTATTGGAACTGATTAGAGAGGTTAGCTTCGGAGCATGCGCAGGTAGTGGCATGCTTATGTCCAATTTGTATTACATCTAATTATAAGTGGCTCCCTATCGAACAGCTGCTCTTGCATACTGAACACCCCGTACCCCTTGTACCCTTTCAACACAAAGGACAATGTTATCCCCAACAGCTTTGCCACAACAATATTCCCCAAGTGTACATAATCTAATTATGAGCAAATAGAACTAAACAATGAATTTTATATTATCTTATTTGTATATAAAAGAGTTAATAGCTCAAAAAGAGACATACAAATAAAAAAATCCCCATCCCCACCCCAACATATATTATTACATTAAGGCTCGAAATCGGTTTTGTACTAAATATAAGCTCCTGTTATACTCAAATGCCATGAGGGGAGTACCGTTGGATTCAGAATTTCACGGAGGATTAGCGAATCGTACTCTCCACCTTTGTTTTTCTTTCTAAAATTAGTCGATTCAAACATTTTGCTAGGCTTCAATACTGGAACGGTGGAAAAAATATATTCAATCTATTTCCATTTCAAAACAAAACAATTCATGATGTATACCATTTTTAAATATCAATCAAAAGTTCATATCATCGGCACCATGTTAAATTAACAAATGCGCAACATAAAACAGCTGACGTTCGTTATTTTAACATGGCGACGACAATGTAACCTATAGTTCGATTATCTGCAGAAAAGTAGAAAATTAAAGTTGTGTATTATTTTCAAGTAAGTCACATTTTTCATTGAATAGAAAGCGGCAACTAAACAAAAAGTAATTAAGGTAATTATTAATTATTTCTTAGTTATAATCCCCACATATATTATTACAGTAAAGCTCGAAATCGGTTTTGTAAAAAATATAATCTCCAGTCATGCTCAAATACCATGAATGGGGTACCGTTGGATTAAGAATTTCACAGGGGTTAGCGATTCGTATTCTCCACTTTTGTTTTCATTGTAAAATAAATAAAGTCGATACAAACATTTTGCTAGGCTTCAATACTGGAACATTGGTAAGTCTTTAGATCGGTACGGGACAAATTGGGCTTTGGAGATTTTGATGCGACCTTACGGAACTATCGTATCCTGCGTTGTTAAGTCCAAAAACGTACTATTTTCGAGATAACGCAAGGCATAGGGTTCGTATCCACACTAACTTAAAGGAATTGTAGTACTGTCATTGAATACATGTCTCATTTCGTCGACTTGAGGTCTCTGTGATCGAGAGAGGGGGAGTTTATATTATTTATCGATGGTGTTTTTGATCGGCAAGGCATATCATCGTTAATTTTTCATCAAATCTCAAGATTGAACCACCAATTTCGAAGGCTTCCTTCTCCTTCAGGCGGGCAAAATAGTGCAATCACCCCGAAAATTCAGGCAAACAAGTTATGAAAGAAAAAAAACTTTATTTGCGAATAACTAAAAAATTACACACTTCTCCCTTGGTTATGCCCATGATTATATAAAAGATTACTAAATTCCCTACAAAATGAAAAAAACATTGAAATCGGACAATTTTTAGCAAAAATACAGATTATTGAAGTTTGTAAACATGTTGGATCAAAAAAAAAATGAAGATTTAAATTAATTTTTGTTTCCTTTGTCGATTATATTTATCGATAAAGTGACATTTTATTTCTTTATCTTTTGATACGTTTCATTATTTTATTTTCTCATTGATTTGGCATTGATAACAATATGCTGTGCGAATTTTTCGCACGGGCCTACTAGTCTATTTAATTTTCTTATTTGCATATAAAAGAGTTAATACCTCAAATGGAGATATATAAATAAAAAAATCCACATACCCACATATATTATTACATTAAGGCTCGAAATCGGTTTTGTACTAAATATAAGCTCCTGTCATGCTCAAATACCATGAATGGGGTAACGTTGGATTCAGAAGTTCACGGAGTTTAAGCGAATCGTATTCTCCTCTTTGTTTTTCTTTCTAAAATAAGTCGATTCAAACATTTTGCTAGGCTTCAATACTGGAACGATGGTAAGTCTGTAGATCGATACGGGACAAATTGGGCTTTGGAGATTTTGATGCGTTCTTCGGAACCATCCGATCATGCGTACTAACGCAAGGCATAGGGTTCCACACAACCTTACGTTAATTGTAGTACTGTCATTGAATATAGAATAGAAGAAGAAGAATCAACTTTATTCTGGGACAAAGTCCCTTAAGAATAACAATTTTGTACATAAAAATTAACATACCATCTGGCCAAAATACATATTACAATAAAAAAAATAACTGAAAACTAAGTGATAGCAGAAGTATTTACCTTATTTCATTTACATTACAGAACGTGACTAGACATCTTTTCCATGCTCAATAAAGAATATATATTTATATACAAATGATAAATAGAGAAAAATGCAATTTTGTTACATGATAAATGGCTACCCAGCGTCTGATTGAATTGTAAGGATGGATTGGAATAGGAGGGTTTTAAATATGGATATGGATAAATATATGTCTCAATTCGTCGACTCAAGAGGATCAATGATCAATGATCAAGAGGAGGAGTTTATATAATTTATCGATGGTGCTTTTGATCGGCAAGCCATATCATGGTTAATTCTTCACTAAATCTCAAGATTGCGCCACCAATTTTAAAGGCTTCCTTCTCCTTCAGCCAAGCAAAATAGTTCAATCAAACAATTTCCTCGTTAACAATATGCAGGTCCGATTTTTAGTATCCGTACATATATTATTACAGTAAGGCTCGAAATCGGTTTTGTACCAAATATAAGCTCCTGTCATGCGCAAATACCATGAATTGGGTACCGTTGGATTCAGAATTTCACTGGGGGTTAGCGAATCGTATTCTATACGAATAAAATAAAATAAATAAAGTCGATACAAACATTTTGCTTGGCTTCAATACCTCAACGGTGGTAGGTCTGTAGATCGATACGGGACAAAATTGGATCTTGAAGATTTTGATGCGTACAGCAAGACGCCTGCGTTGTTTCGAGATAACGCAAGGCATAGGATTCGCATCCACACAACCTTACATTAATTGTAGTACTGTCATTGAATACATGTCTCATTTCGTCGACTAGAGGTCTCTATGATCGAGAGAAGAGTTTATATTATTTATCGACGGAGTTTTTGATCGGCAAGCCATATCATCGTCAATTTTTCACCAAATCTCAAGATTGAGCCACCAATTTCGAAGGCTTCCTTCCCCTTTAGACGGGCAAAATAGTCCAATCACCCCGAAAATTCAGGCAAACCAGTTATGAAATAAAAGAATCTTTATTAACGAATAACTAAAAAAATACACACATTCATTGGTCCTTGATTGTTATGTCCGTGATTATATAAAAGATTACTAAATTCCCTACAAAAGAAAAACCAAAAAAAAAAAAACACATCGAAATCTGACAGTTTTTAGCAAAGATACAGCTAACTGAAATTTGTAAACATTTTAGGTCCAAACATTTATGAAGTTTTAAATAATTGTTTGTATAATTTGTCGATTATGTTTATCAATAAAGTAACAATTGATTTCTTTATTCTACGTTGCATTATTTATTTTTCTTATTAACTTGGCATTTGATCAGTTAAAAATATGCTATGGGAATTTAGTAAAATTAAATATTCAATATATGACGGTCATAGGGTCAATACCTTCGATTTCGGTTGGATGGGGGAGGGGACCAAAAAAATATTAAAAAATGTCGAGTTTTTATTATGTGCAAAAATTCTAGATAGGGTAAGCGCATGAAAAAATGAAATTTGGGTACAAGAGGCTACGGATAGGTTGAGAGAGAGAGGGAGAGAGAAAGAGAGAGTGAGAGCAAGGGAGAGAGATAGAGAGACAGAACTAAATCTTAAGTTAAACTAATGGTAACTGATTCCAAGAAGTTCTCCCAGGGGTTATTAAATTCCTGGTGGTTTTGATGAAAAGTGATGTAATAGTGGCAGCCCTTGAGCAGTATTGGGATTCCTTGTGACTGAACATTACCACTTCTTTATTAGACCTACCTTCCTTCTACGGATATTGCCATGCCTTCCTTTTTTCCAACCTCTTTTTCTCAAAAGCCACAAGTCTGAATTCATCTCTAAACATCACCATTGTACTATCCTACTAAATAATCCAGTAATGATGATTCAAAGTATATTAAAAATATTTTATTTATTTATTTTTTAATTAAAGTATTAAAAAATCTATTAAACTTTCATTTGAATATGTATCTTATAGTAACCTAAAATTTTTTATCTACGAAAATTCTAAGAAATTATGACTACTAGCTTTCCACTAGAATCGTTATATAATTTAATAATAAAATAATAATAATAATAATAATAATAATAATAAGGCTTAGCGAACCCGAAGGTTCGATGCCGACACCACCAATCGCTTGTTACACACCTCCCTCCACCGTTCGCCGTCCAAACCCAGTCCCTTCAGATCGGCTTTAATGCAATCCTCCCATCTTCGCTTCGGTCTACCCCTCGGACGCTTACCATTCGGCACAGCAAATATTAACCTTTTAGGAATTCTCTCGTTACTAAGCCCAACAACTTTACAAGCCCATTTGATTCGCCGCGATGAAATTACCTCAATTATATTACCCGGATACATCTCACGCAATTCGGCGTTGTGTAACCGTCTGAACTCTCCGGTTAACTCATCCTTTTTCGGTCCGAATATTCTACGCAATACTTTATTTTCAAAAACCTTAAGACGCTGCTCATCCCTTAATGTAAGCGGCCAAGTTTCGCATCCATAAAGAACTGTAGGTAAGATAATTGTTTTATAGATTCTAATTTTTAAGTTTCGGGACAAGAGGCGCGAACTAAGTAGTTTTGTCACAGAAAAATAACAAGCGTTCCCCGCCTTCAGTCTAACCTTAATCTCTTCTTCAATTTCGTTTTTTCTAGTTATTGTAGAACCTAGATACCTAAACTTATCTACCTGTTCAAAGATATTACCATCTATATCAATATCACCAGTAGTATCGCCATTTTTGCAGCAATTTAATAATAAAATAGAGAAAAAAATTTCCTATCATAATATTTGGCCGTTTGGCCTACATAACCTCGTAATTTTTACATTTTGAGATTGAAAGTCACGTCAAACAGCCCAATATTCTTGTAGGCCACCTTTTATCTAAAATTGCTGATCACATTATCTTGCGGTTTGAATGGAAATAAAATAGGAGTTCATGAGTTTTTAGTAGCTACTAATGAGATATCTCATCAAATAGACAAATTATACCGATTTTCAAATTGAAAACGTTTAATTTTAGAAAATTTTTGTAAATAAAAAAGTGAAGATATTAACGAATTCTTAAAAATATGTTAATAAGACAAAAACGCTGCAAATTATATCACAATGGTTTATTATTTTCAAATAATTATACACCTAAAGTATTATTACCTTCTTAGTTACAAAGAAAAAGCAATAAAAGGTGATTCCAATTATTGAACTAAACTTTTTTTTTAATCATTAGTAATATGCTAAAAAAATTAGCAATACTTCAGTAACACATTCAAAATTCAAAAACCAAAACAAAGGATATAACCTTTGCAGTAGAACATACAAAAAAAAAAAAAAAAAAAACTAGAGACCTTATCTTTGCTCCTAATTTTCCGATTTTAACGATTTTTTTTTTTTTTTTTTAGAAAATTCCGTAATCATTTAAAAAACCCAACAATATCGGAAAAAAAAACTGTATACTTTTTGAGTTGTTTGGAATTTTATTTTACCATCTCTCGTAACTTTTTTTCCAGCTTCTTTTCGTTTAAGTATATAACACATAAATTTAAAGGGCGTCAAGAAAGTTTCATTGAAATCGGTACATTCGTTCAGGCGCTACAGTCTATAGCAACGCAGGTTTTTCGGCCGCCATTTTCAAAGTAATAGGCGTCTAGTAATGACGATGAAGGAGGAACATCCTCAGGTGGCCACTGATTTTATTCACAAATTAAAAAAAAAATTGTATTCGTTTTTAGAATTATATGTATCCTGAAACATAAAACCTCAAATTTTGAGAGAGGGTTAAGTTTTTGTATTTTTTTTGTCGATCACAATGGTTCATTATTGAAAATAATAAACCAAAATGATTCTTTACAGCACACTATTTGACATGCGGCAGCCTCAATGTTTGATTATGTATGCTTGGTGTTTTACTAGGCATCCGTCCATTTGCATTCGCACCGAATATTTTAAAATTTTATCCAGCTTCTAATTTTTTAAAGAAAAATATTACACCAGTGCTGTGAGCTCCGGATTATTTATAACATAGAATGTTCTGCACCAAGAGTGAATAGTCATTATTCTTACGAGTTATTATAATATATTTCTTATTAACACTTTGATTAGCAAATATTATTATCCTTTTCCAGCTGGGAGGATCCAACAGCACTCGGGTGACCTTGAGGGCGGCGGACAAAGACCTGACTGGGATTTACAAGTGCGAGGTGTCCGCTGACGCGCCGCTATTCCACACCGCGATAAGGACAGCCCACCTGGTCGTCACGGGTAACTAATTCAATATGATAATACAATATTAATAATATTATTACTATATTATATATTATATATTATATTATTATAGTGGAGCCAGAGAGCGGTCCAGAGATCCAGCTGGAGAAGACCAAGTACACTCCTGGAGAGAGGTTGAGAGCCAACTGCAGCTCCAGGCCTGCCTTTCCAGCGGCCAACCTCACCTTCTATATCAATGGAGCAAAGGTAAATAATAATAAGATAATATGAATGAATGAGTAAATGAATGGAGATCGTGCATTAGAAATATTAGACGAAAATTTTCTTTACAAATATAGACCACAATCAGTCATTGAGAAACAGTACGTGAAGCTGTACTGAGATCAAAACACTATAACAGACCACGCTATTCCACAGAACAGGATATTTTGTTCGTTTTGAAGGATGATGCCATCCAAAGATAGGGGTGCCATTGGATGATAACCTTTACAATGTGGTAGCGGAAAAAATATTAAGACCTTGGTGAAGAGCTCAAACAATTGAATCGATGAGTGCGGAAACCACGTTAATCACAAATTTCAAATTTATCAGGATAGAGAAAAATTCTCATAACTCTTCCAAATTTTCAAAGATTTGAACTTTCTCCCTCCTCTTTTGTCATAACATGCATTTATGTTGATGTTATGCAAAAATTACCTAATCTCAACATAAATTAGGCTCAGGGAAATTTAAAATTTGATTCTGACTCATGCTGTTTCTGCACTCAACTGTTTTTTACAGACAGCTGAAAACTTGGGAAAAAGGTAACCATTCAATAAATGTTTTTATTTTTAATTAACAATTGATTTTACATTACATTTGATTAAAAATTCATATATCAAAAATGAAGTTACAGTCACTGACTCATGTTATTTCTCAACGATCGAAAGAGATGTCATGTATTGACGGAAATACGGGTATATACTCAACAGACTAACGTGGTTCTTGCACTCAAGACGCATCTTCCCTTTCTAAGAGTCTTTTCATCGAAAACGATTTTTCGCATTTTTTTGACTGAAGTTGTTTCTGCACTCATAGATTCAATTGTATAAAGTTGATGAAGTGAGGGCTTTGCCGCTGGTCATATCTGCGAATTATTTGATTCCGGACACAACAGTTGAATTCTGTATATTTTTAGGTGAGGAAATCCTACATCCAACTTCTTTTGAGCCTTCGAAGGGTGTTTTCGGGTATGATAATCGTGGTTATGTCTTATATCAGTGTGTGTTAGAAAGTCCATGTACGATATTGTGAAATGTTTTGTAGTGTGTCCGTATATTGCTGTGTTTACCATGGAGCTTTAGAAATAGTCCAAAAAGTTTTTGACTGAAAGGTTTGTAGTTTTCGTATCTGGGTCATTTTGGCTGTATATTTGAGAAGAGTAGATCCATATAGGCTTTAGTAGGTAAATATAGATGTTCAGTTATTTTTTTAAATTTAAATTTAATTTTTAATTTTAATGAAACGTCTTGAAAGATTTAGGTATAATAGTTGTAGTCTGAGGTTTGATGTTTTTCTTATTTTGTTGATATGTGGGCCCTATGTCATTTTTCTGTTGAATATCAGTCCAAGATATTGCATTTCACTACTATGATTTAAACTAGTTTTTCTTACGTTAAACAGAAAGAAGGGAATCGTTGTTTTTTTCTAAACCCAAACAAACATAAAGCATCTCGAATAAATAATAACCGATAGAAAACTGTATTTACAGTATTTTTTATTTATGTTTTTCTTTTATTTCCTTTGATACGCCCCTATCTCAATTCGATTTAGATCAAAGTTTGTTTAAGAAACAAAAAGTTTACTATGAGACGTTAGATTTAGCAAAATAATGAAGTTTGTGCTTTAAATAGACTTGAACGTTAGGATGATAAATTATGTATTGTGGTTAGCAAACCGCAAAAGTTTTTCTTTTCTCTTTATTTAAGTTAAATGACGCTTTTAAAATAGCAATTACGAATTATTTTTTTCACTGCCTTTGACCAACAACTTCTAATGAGTTTCTACTTTCTACAAGTTACTTTGTATTATTAAAACAGCTTTTATCAAAACACAACTAAATTAATAATACTCAATGACTAATTAAATAAAAAATTACTGATAGGTGATAGATAGCTGATAAAAGAGTAGATACAAAGAATAACAGCGACATAAAAATCTACCTTGTCATTCTAATAAATTAAAGAAAAATGTAATTTAATTTTCAATTAGTGCCCTTGTAATGAAAAGATCATGGACCGTAAATCTTTTCAAACGTAGTTATAATTTTAAAGTTATTTCTACTTCCTCTAAGGGAATATAATTCCGCGACAAAAATTAAGGCGTCTTTTATTTTTGGAATAGGGAATTCCCTACGGATACAATACTGAAAAATCGGTCACATAGATATTCAACAGAAGTAATTTTCTTGAATCGCTTCGTATTAAAGAAAAACAATTTCGCTATTTTTGGCGTAAATGTTATAGTTCAAGAGCTGAGCAGAAATATTGTTAACTTATTTAAAAAAAAAAAAGTCTGGTGTGTCCACTCACACGACTTTCCTACCTATTTCAGAAAAGTTTTTATATCTTTACATATGTCTATCAAGAAACAAAAAAAACTGAATTATATTTATCTTCATCAAAATTTATCAAAGAAAAGATTTAAGTACGATTTATTTGATAAACTAAAGCAATGTAAACCGGCTTAAGGTAGATCAGTGTAAACATTTCAATATCTTCTAATATCATTGGTAAAAAACTTTTTCCCATAGCCTAATTTTGCCAAACAATAACTTCTGTTAAAAGGTAGAGGTAATAGTCAAGTTTGCGTTTTTCTTACTTTCACTAAGTTATATTTTTTCTCTCATTCATCCCTTTGTGACACCAGGATATGGACCCGTAATTTTACATTGGAAATTGAATAGCTGTAACTTCGTTAATAGTTGTTCAAAATGATCGATTTTTATATGGATTTGTAGGGAATTTCACTATCGTTAAAAAAAACAGGCTAAACGGGAGCTATGAAACGTATAGATCCGTCGACAATTCGACCAGATCGCAATACTTTCTTTACCTAGTATAGGTAGGAATGTAAAAACACTTGCCAAACACCGTTATAATAGAGACTTTCATACAGCTCGTGGTAAATGCTTAATGTACTATCCTTCTACATCGTCAGCGCTAAATTTAAATAAATGATAAATAACCCTTCTGTGCTGACCTGCTAAAATAATATTAGTTATAATAAGGTTATGATTAAACAGTAAACAATGTTTGTGATTATTCCTGCTTGATTGATCTAATAACTTTTTGAAGTGAAGGCGCGTTTAGTGGAGAGTGAATGATATGAGCCGTCAGCCTCGGATGTGTAACGCTCATTAGGGTAAAGTCGCCTGGAGTCAAGTAATTGAAATGTTTTTGCATATAGCTTAAAATATTCAGCAACTAAAATTTTAACTTGCATACTGTAAGCAAGTGAAATGGTCAGCATTTCATTCTCTTTTTAATGAGCTACTATTCAAAATTGTATCGACAGCAGTGATTTTTCTCTCCAGTTTGTCAGTCAGCACCCAGCTTTCTGCACGATACAGGAGTATAGGCAACTATACTGCCTTAAATATGTGCAGTTTCACACTTCTGCTCACTTCTCTCTTTCCAATCACAGTATTGCAGATCTGGTAATAAATAGCGTTCGCTTTGCTTATCCTGTTCAGAATTTCTGAATCCACTTTCCCATACCGATCCATACCAGTACGAAGATTGAAAGCTCTACGTTGAATCCGTTGAAATTAACTGCAACATCTTCCTGTATATTCCACGTATATATTCCAACCTTGGTTGGATCTTGGTAAGATCATTCTCTTTCTGGTACTGATGATCATACTCTTCCTGCGGAATTCTTCGTTCCATTCGTCAACTGCCTCCACGGAATCCGCAATTAGGACAGTATTATCCGCATATAGAAGACACTGAATTACAACTTCAAGCAGAAACGTCCTTACTATTCACCTTTTGCAGATCGCAGCTATTTCATCCATGTATAATGTGAATAGCAACGGGCTTAAACTATCGCCTTGTTTGACACCCTAGCTAAGCTAAAATTGCCAATTTCTTAAACAACCTAAGTAATTGGAACAAGTTAGGGAAGAGGTACTGCTGAGTACTTTCCTTCCCCATGCCTGTCATGTCATTATATCATGTATCGCCATCACATTTGCTGTATGTCAACAATAAGTTGACAGGCGTAAATACATGTTGATAGAAAAAAAAAGTTTGATAACTCTCATTTTTATATTTAAAATTTAACATAAATTATTTTAAAAACCTAACCTAAATGTAAAAATGTAACCTAACAGGTACACGGTTATTTTATTCTTATTTATTGTATATATAGAAATAGAAATAGAAAAATAACTTTATTCTGGGACACAGTCCCTTGAGAATAACAAAATAGAACAAAATTAAAATATTACATCTGGCCAAAATAAAATCAATCGAAAAAAAGAAATAATGCAAAAAAAATATAAGGTAAAAATTCTATATACAAAACAAACGAAACTATATACAAAACCATTAATACTATGACAAGACACTTAAAGCTATTTGCTCTTATAGACCAGTATACACTTTTCCGAAAAAAAAGAATTAAAAAATAAAACTGTATCAAATTCTCTATTAAAATCCGCTCGAATGGTTAGCAAGTATCTGACTGTTTTTGTGATAGGAATTGGAATAGGAGGGATTTGAATGTGGATATGGAGGGGGAATGTCGAATTTTGATAGGGAGGGAATTCCACAAAATATATTATTTTTCTGTATAATTTATTTTATTTATTTTACATAGAGTGGGAATGTGATCTGGGAACTCTATTATAAATGTCCTAGAGACAGTGTAATATTTTTTCAATAAAAAAGTTTATAAAAAACAGGTAGACAAATCACGTTTACATTTCTATACATTAATAAATTTATTTTGCTAATTATTTCCGCATAATTCTAACCTATTAGTCCTGGATCCTCTTTGTGATCAAACATTTTCATTTTAGAACACTCATTGGACGAGGAAACATTAATATTCCTTTTGGAAATAAATATACCATAATTTTTTAATATATATTTTAGGTTAAAGGTCACCAAATATAATTTTTTATCTCCTGTATTCTTTATTCAACGTTTCGGCTTCAGGAGCCATTTTCAAGATCCTGCAAAACTAATTTTAATTTAGTTTTTACAATTCAATTACATCCTTAT